CTCTCTCTCTGCCTGTTCTGCAAGTTCTGACTATGTTCTGGTGCTTACATTCTGTATTTCTGTTGTGTAGGATAGTTGTAGCCTAGGTCCCCTTACTAAGCCTTCAGGTCCCCTCTACACTGTTGCTGACACACTAGGTAATCCTGTAGAAGTATCACTAGTAGTCCAAGGGGTGTTCTGAGTTGGTTCTGTTGTAGATTGTATACATTCCAGGTTGTAGAACTTGTTGCAATGTTAACTGAAATTGTGGTCAACCATTTGGATTCCTTGTCTTGAGTCCTAAAGTGTTGCTCACTAGGTTTACAAAGTATCAAATGGGTTTCATGTCAAATTGAGTGGATTGTGTGGTCCTTGTGTCTTAATGTATCTGGTCTCTCCTAGTATACTTGTCCTGGTATTGAAAACATAATAGTGAGTTCACTATCAAATGTAAGGGTTGTTAAAGTTGGTATTCCTGTAGGATAGTAGTCTAATGTTCTAATAGATGAATAGTAGTGTCTGGGGAAGTATCCTGTGTATTTCTAAGGAGTAAAGTAGTGTTCTGTAGTCCTTTACACTTGAAAACATAGTTAATAGTAGTATCAAATTTGTTAATAGACTTGTACTGTCATGGACTAGTCCTTGTAACAGTACTAGTCCTTGTAACACATGCCTTTTTACACAATAACAACACATTTTTTCTTGCTACAAAAAATATAATAATAATATAAATTCAATTAGAAGTCAGTAAAAAAAAGTAAGAAAAAATATTAAAAATTAATAAAATTATGAACAAAATACTGTTGAAACAGTAATGATTTTTACCCCTGTGAAATTTTGTAAGGACAATTAATGAATATTATGTTAATAATTATTAAAATAAAAATTATAATAATAAAGCTAGCTACATTAACTACTGTTATTTAAAATTTTGTGTAAAAATATTGATTACAAGACAAGATAAAAATTCAGCAATATTGACTGTGAAACAAGAGTTGTTGTCAATACTGCTACAAAGGTCACATGACCTTTGCAGCAGTATTGACAACAACTCTTGAGCTCAGTAAACTATTAATTAATACTATACAACATACATATTATTATAGTTATAATTATAAATAATAGTAGTAGCTACTACTAGATACTTCTAGATACTCTTATATATTATTATTATTATAATTATAAGTAATATTACTAGTTATTACTAGATATTTCTAGATATTTCTATATATTATTATAATTATAGTTATAAGTAATAATACTAGTTATTACTAGATACTTCTAGATAGTTCTACATATTTTTATTAATAATATTATCTCTAGAATATTCTATAAGAAAGGTATATAAGGACTAGGTATCTTACTTTTTACTCCTCAGAAATCACTTTACCTTTAACTCATTCTCATATCTAAAGCACTAGTAACTAGTGACTGTCATATCTACTATATCTACTATGCCTGGATGTGCTAAATCACAAACTAAAAAAGCATAAGAGGCAAGAGAAATAAGAGATAATTTAATAGCTAAAGCTGTTAAATTATATCTCTTAGAGCTCCAAAAACCTGAAAAAGATAGGAAAGGAGTTAGAACTATTTGTACAGAAGTGTCAAATGAATATGAGAAAGAGACAGGCAAGCTTGTCACTCTCAATTATAATACACTTCTAAGACATGCTTCTGGAAAAAAATCTTTAAGTAAGTTTAATGAGGAAAAAGGTTGGCTCTTACCTAAAGAAGTAGATAAACTTATTCAACTTACTGAAGAGTTTTCTGAAAGAGCTATACCTCTTACTCATAAAACACTTAAAGAGGCAGCAGAGCATGTATTAAAAGCTAGACTTGGAAATGATTTTACAGGTCTAGGTACTAACTGGGTTGACAGATTTATTGAAAAACACTCAGATAGAATTAGAACTTTCTTATCATCATCTATTGATTGTCAGCGACAGCGTAGAGGGGACCCGAAGGCTCAGCGAGGGGACCCAGGCTACAACTATCCTACATAACAGAAATGCGGGACGCGAGCACCGGAACGTAGTCGGAACTCGCGGAACGGGCAGAGAGAGAGAGTGAGACAAGAGTAGAGTATATAGAGTGAGCCTAAGAGTACAGGACTACCTGGAGTAGACGAGATCAAGACTACAGGACCAGTCTGATCTCGTACGCCTATATATACTAAACTACACAAGAGCACTCAGGGAGTATGAGCCACTAAGAATGATGAGCCACGAAGAATGAAAGAAAGGAATGTCAAAGATAAAGGTACAAAGAATGAAGGGATGGACAAAGGGTAAGAGACCATAGAATGATACAAAGAATGAAGGGGTGGTCAAAGGAATGGAATGATGAAGTAAGGAAGGGTAGTGGCAAGAGTCAGCACGCATATAGTCCATAGACAGCGCCCCCGAGGGACGGAAGTCCCGAGTTCCGGTACGGAAGGGTGCGGAACCCTCGGAACTGAAGGTACGAGAGCGGAGAACCGTAACATCACCCCCCCTCTAAAACCAATCGTCCCGATTGGTGAGCATTGGGCTCGGTCAGCGGCTCGGGCATAGGTCGGAACGGTAGGGTTTGGAAATCCGTGAGGCGGAGTTGACGCGGAGCACCCGGATGAAGTCGATAGAAGTCTCGGATCGCCTTAGCAGCATGGGTGAGATTCTCAGCAGGTTCCCAAGTGCGTTCTTCAACTGGGTATCCCTTCCAGTGAATAAGGAACTTGAGCTTCCGCGCACAGCTTGGCATCCGCTACGTACTCTACTT